GAGACGACGTCGTCACCAGGGTCAGACCCAATATCTGGTAAAGTGGCGGGGATATCCCGACTGCGAAAACTCGTGGGAGCTTGAAACACCACTTCGGCGAGATTGCCCAGACGCCGTGGACACTTTTGATCAGAAAGATCAGGACACCCCGCGCTTCCCGGCAATAGCCAGGGAAGTAGAAGGGCCATAAGCTGAGCTCAAGCGGTGACCCTGAGCTATTGCGGTCGAAGATACTGAGCTCGCGGGAGCGTTAGGGGTTAGCCCATACACCCATACGTCGCAGGGCGACGATCTGAAGGGAGTCGATGGCGTGCTTTGAGTTTGGCAAACTCAAATCGAAGATGTCGCTTCACACGCACGTCCACTTCCTTCTGGCTCAACTGTAAGGCATACAGCTTCGTCATCTGTAGCGCTTTCGCCAGGTGCGAGCACTACAGGTATCGTCCGAATTGCGGGTACACGAGAGCCACCTCGTTGATCACGCAGACGAGTGCGATATAGTTCCAACGGAAATTCTTGTGGAGCCAAGAAACGAGCTCGAAGAGCTTTCCGTTCGGCAAGTTCATCTTCTGTAATGACCGGGGACCCGATGATGTTGAGGCGTAACAGTCGAGTTTCCACGTCCTTCGCCTCCACAGTGGGATCAGCCGGGCGGAAACCATTATCCACACGAGGGTCAATGACCGGCCGTGGATGGGTGCGCATCCGAGTTACCTCACGGGCAGCTTCTAGCTGCCGCTTCTATGCCTCATCGAGGTCATTGGTGATTACACCACGTTACTCAGGTGACGAAATGTCAGGAAACAGACATGGGGTCCGCAAGGCGCGAGCAGGGCTCGTCTCACGCCGCTGTCGTGACTCACCTTCCTCATCATTCCATCCGTGAAAAGGAGTGTCAGAATTGGAGTCGACCACCTCCACATCCCCAACGAGGTCATTCGTCACCGTTGGCGTGCACGAAATGCTACGCTCGGGATCATCGAGCCTAGAATTTATATCCCTCGATGCCGCGGAGACACGGTCCGACATGGCACCTTCTGCGGGAGATGAAGCTGGGCTCTGCCCGTGAGCGCTGTCGGAACCTGAGAGACTTGGAGACTTCGGTGTCATTGACACAGGGATCATTGAGCACGGAAGTCGTTGCGTTCCAACGCAGTGTCTACCGTACATGCAAGCCTCGTTGAGGCAATAATCGATTGGAGCTGTAAATCTTCTCAATCTGAATGGGGGAGAATGTAACGGGATTACACATTTATCTGGCAACACGGGTGTGTGTCACACCAGATGGGCATGGTGTGACCACACCCAAACAGGAATACGGTTCGGGGCTGGATAGCCAGTAGTTGTACATGTATTTAGATTTTACCATACAAATTAATGAAAATCGATTCATTTAAAATTAGGCGGCTTTGCCGCAGGTAAAAATAAATACATTCAGTTTTGGATTTAAACGGAAGAGTTAATTAGCCTTGGGTTTAGGTTGTGTCTACTCTTGGAGTAAGCGGATTGCGATCCGCTAAACTCGTACTTGTTCTAAGTATAGAACGAAAGGTCGGTGACCTAACTTACTCTTCCTCAAAATGCAAAGCTACAGCAGCTCTGCTGCATTATGTGCCGAGAGTGGATTGGAGCTTTAACCGCAGTGGTCCTCGCGGAGCGGTCAGTTTTTCAAAATTAGTGCGAACCCCAGTGGGGTTGGCATCTTAGTGCGGGAGGGCGTAACGGAGCAAGTCTTGTGATCTTGTGTTTTTACTTCTCACACATTTTGTGTTTGTGTATCACATGCAAATTTTCATAGCACTTTGTGTACAGGTGAATGTTAACATATACCGAAAAATCGGTATCTTGGAGGTTTTAAGAATTCCAAAATGGAGGCTCTGGGAATACGAACTGCACATCATTAGGTAAGGTTAAACTTCTATATTTAGTATATATATTCATCTACTATATTTTGAAATTACATAACATCAAGTTGATTATATTAGACACTCTGGTCTAAGTGTACGAACCGTCCACTGTGGCTTAAGGCGAATGAAAGCTTCTCTGTGCGAGGTGCACTGAATACTCTTGCAAAACATATGTATAATTCAAGCTCAATCAAGCCATTAGACTATCACTCATTCAAAATACAGCTTGAGTTTTCATAGCCCAAAGTACACTCTGGGTGAAATGGGTGAAACTCGCAGTTCTCATGCAATCAAAAACCCAATATTCAGAACGCAAACACATGGCCGCTAAACCTCGCGTACTGGTGCTTGGCGGCGCCGGCATGATTGGTCGCAACTTCGTCAAGTACTTGATAGATCTCGACTTAGTCTCGTCCATCCGTGTGGCTGACAAAACGATGCCCGAGATCTCCTACTTCAGGTGCGTTCTCGCCACTATTCGTCTAACATATGATGGTTGACACCTGATTGAACCTTTTGGCTACTCAGTGCTGTACACAAAGAGGCGTTCGCTGATGAGCGCGTCAAGTTCGTGCAAGCGGATTTAACGCGTGACGCCCATGTCGATCGCGCTTTTAACCAAGAGTTTGGTCCATACGATTTTGTGTTTAACCTGGCTGGTGAGACCAAGTGTGGACTCTCTGAGACTGTCTATGCCTCCAAGTGCCGCGATCTGTCGGTGAAATGCGGTACGTCAGAAAATATGTAATGGTCCGATGAATCTAAGCAGAATAGAAGGATACTTTCACAGCCAAGAAAGCGCAAGAAGTGGGCGTCAAACGCTTCATTGAAGTGTCTACCGCTTTCGTATATAAATCGCAGGTTAAGCTGCCGGCAACGGAGGATGCGGAGCTGCAGCCGTGGACGTTGCAAGCTAAGTACAAGCTAGAAGGGGAGGAGGAGATCCGCCAGATAAGTGGATTGAAGGTTGTATTCGTCCGCCTAGCGACGGTACGTCACAAACACTGTTCTATTTTTGCCACTGAGAAGTCAGAAGCCCGTTCTGCTTGGTAGGTTTACGGGTCGGCAGACTCGGCGGGACTCATGCCTCGAATTGTTTGTGCCGCCTCGTACGTTTCACTTCTTATTGGATGAATCTGTTCACTCATGACTCTATCTAGATATGTGAAGCTGGAAGAGAAAATGAAGTTGTTGTGGGATGCGGAAATGCGCGTCAACACGGTACAGCTGACTCGCTGAATTTGATGTATCATGAGAAGCTCAAAATTTTGAATAATGTTGATAAGGTTCACGTCTTTGACGTGTGCCAAGCCCTTTGGCACCTGACTAGTGCGGGATCTGACGGTGAAATTTACAACTTAGTGGACAAAAATGATACCAGTAAGTGCTAATAAAGTTTTAGGTACGCTGATGAAAAGCTAAGTGCGTATGTATCGTGGAGACCAAGGTAAGATCAACGCGGCGATGGAGGAGATTTTCCAGATAAAAACCGGCTTTATCGGCAAGCTCGTTTCAAACCTGGCGCGCGTGCGCCTTGCTGAGGTCGTAGACGATGCTAATGAGAAGCATATGCAACCTTGGGCTGATCTCTGCGCGGTACGTTTTGTTACTGCATTCCCAATTTCGTTACCTCTGGTGCGTATGGTCTTAAATTTGCGTTATTCAGGAGTACGGTATTACGAATACGCCACTCACACCGTACATCGACAAGGAACTGCTGCAACACAATCACCTTTATGCCGATGGCTCCAAAATTGAGTCTACAGGTTTCCAATACAAGTACCCAGCGGTTGGTTGCCAATGTAATAGTAGTAGTGTCACATCTTAACCTGAACCTCTGATGACTCGTGTGGCCAGTTTGATCCGAATGAATTGCGTAGCGTACTGGAAGAGATGGTGCAGCAAAAGATCTTCCCGCCTATTCTGTCACACTGTTAGACCATGGCACTTGTCAATAGGGCGATGGTAAATGTTTATACAATGTGACGCCTTGGCTCGAGTTTCACTCAAAGCTTGACACTTTTAGGGCTATACATTCTCAAGTATAAACAACAACACGACACACCTTTAGCTCAAAACTGGGTACTATACCTCTTGAAATTAGGGTTTCTTCTTACCTACCCACACAAGTGCAATAGGCGACAAACTTAAAAGGTTGCACTTCCCCCTCCACGTACGCGCTGCCGCTCTTTCTATTCAGCTGCAGGCACTAGCGCGTCGTGTGTGCATTCTTACCAACCTAATTCGTTGCAATAGGTCCGACTAAGTTATCGCTATAAGTGCTCACAATTCGCATTCCAGTCGGTAGTTGACTGCTTGCGCCTTCACATCCTCAACGTAAGTTCTCACACGCAGATACGAGGCCTCATGGAGGCAAGCGACGAATTTGACAGCTTTCAGGACTCGGTACGATACGAAGATCCAAGTAGTATTACATCCTCGACCAGCACAAGCCCCACCGATGGAGATCCCCGTGCTAGCACGTCTAGCGATGTGGAGCCACTGCCGACTCAACAGATGCGTAAATTGAAGAAAAAGGAGCGACTACGCACGCAGTCTGAAAGTGCAGTGTGGACGAGAGCATCTTTAAGAATGAAATTATCACCACTTGTCGTAGATGTGGCGGCTACACCCGCTTTTGATGGATCTCATAGCCTTGCGACGCCTGGGGGTGAAGCTTTGTATGACCACGTGCGCGGCAGCGAGAGCGCCTTGTCCCATTTTGATATACTCAACGGTATGGACATGTTCGCAAATTCAAGCGGTAGTGATGTTACCCATCGTCGCCGTAGCCACGACAGTTGCCTGGCTGCCGGAGTGGTATTGGGTAGTCGAGAAAGAGTGATTAATATGTGGAGACAACAAGGTGAGATCTCTGAGCGCGCATCTGAGATGTTGGAAGATGCCAAGCTTTCATTACACGGCAAAGAACAGAACTTGTACGATTCGTCGCTGAGGCGGCTATCGGAGGCACAGGATTCACGATTGAATACACTTAAAGAGAGACTCGCGACTTCAACGGCTACAGAATGTGCAGATTTGGTGACCGATCCGTCGCTGAGTACAAGTGGCTATTGTGGCATCGAGCAGGACGGGGATATCACCGGGTGTAGTTCTCACAGAGAGGAGACGAATAATATCTCGATAGCGTCGGATACGAATACGTCGCTCTCGGACACAGTAGCAGCTTTGAAAAATTGTGACCGACCAGTTTTTGATGTACAGAAGGAACTTTCGCAAATTGACGCCAGCTCTCCGTCAGGTGTAGATGAACGTAACCCGAGTTTTCGACCACAATCAGGGACATTGTACCATGAAGCGGTCAAGTGGGAAGGCGTGCTCACTAGACGAAGCGAATGGTTGCGAAGACTGGAAAGGCATTATTATGTGCTAGAAGGCAAGTTTCTAAGACGATTTGCATCCAAAGAGGCATATTTAGCATCACGAGACGAGCCATTGGTGCCTCATCATATTCAACCGCCAAGTGACCCCAAGAAGCCTGTACCTGGTAGTCCTGCAGCCAGTATGGTGCGAAGAAATTCAAGTAGCCCCGCTTCCAGCAGTGCCAGTCATTTGTACGTGCTAGCAGGGGTCAAAGACTCGTCAAGCCGAGCGAATGGCTTTACGTTTATAACCGAGGATAAAAAGACGCTTCAAGTTACTGCTCCGACATCTGTGGAAAAAATTATCTGGATGCGACTTGGTTTGGAGGCCATTGTGGCGCTTCCAACGCTTCCAGTTGCACCTCTTGATATGGAAGAGTTTTATGCAATGTTGGTCGTATTGTACACGGCACATAGCGGTAACTGGCGCACAGAGGGTGACATGGCCGTAACACTCCCTCCGCCATCAGAGCAGGTGTTTACGCGCTTTTTTCGTTTGCTTGACAAGAATGTCATCTTTTGTTCTAACTATCCCCCGTCAGTTCCGTTTCATGGCTCGTTTCGTGGTCATTCTGGCGTCGTGATGTTCATGCATGACTTTGCAAGACACACACTATGGACTAATTTTAAAATTGGCGGTATGTCTGTTGACGGCTCCATTGCGGTTGCTTCTGGCAAAGAAGAGCTGGAAAATCGTCGTGATGCACGCAAATTTATTCAGAACTGGGTTCATAAGTTCACATTTTACTCGGATGGGAGACTCGCACGCTTCGAGATCAACGGCGACGTCGTTGCAGCAAGTGCAGTTTTTAAAGTTCCAGGCGCCGCAACGACATTGAAGCTGCCACAAGAATTTAATGAAGTAGATGCAGAACACGGATTTGAAGGGGTATTACTAGTGCGAGTAATGCAGGGCCATGGACTGAAGGCTGGCACTATGGTTAAGAAAAGTGTGAAGGAACCGAGTATTATGGTGCAACTTCAATACCGCGAACAGCCAAAGGCAAAGTCTGGTGTGAATGGATCAACAACGGTATTCTCTTCGGCTACCGTGACAGGACCGGTGACACTTATCGGCGGCATTTCAATGCCAAATTTCTCGCGAAAATTCAACTTTATGACGTCCGTTGCAAGCTCTGCGGCGTCTGCGGCCTCTTCTGCTGTTGGTGTTGGTACTTCATTGTCTAACATCTCAACTCCAGTAGTTGACCCATTCAGTACTGGAACTCCGCGCAATGTAGGGGACGAGTCGTACTTACCGACCAACCCTGTATGGAATTGCATATTGGAACTTCCCTTCTGCCGTGTCATTGGTACTTGCTCATTGGTTATAGACGTAAGGGATCACGCCAAAAATGGAGCTGAGACTCAGCTTGGCTTCGCTACACTAAATGTTGCCAAGTATCTAATGGCCGCAGATGGAAAAGAGCGCAGCAAGTTACGGGAAGAGGCAGCAATGGCAGCCGACAGCAAGTGGTATTCCATTAGTAATGCCAAGGGGGAATACTGTGGCAAAGTGCAGCTAGGAATCACATGCCGGCGTGCGAAGATTGCAGATGATGATGATAGCATTCAGCCACGACTTCGAAAGAGTCAAAGTGTCGTGATCGATCGGAAAAATCCGCCATCTTCTCTCATGTTGCAGTGGGATACTACGCATCCCCATTTACTGTTAGAAGCTGGAACACCATCGCTGCGAAAGGGGATGACTCTTGACGAATACCAGATGGGTGGAAGCGAGCATTCACGTCGACATGGTTGGGCAAATGTGAAACTTTCACCCGAAGACACTGCGCGCACACAATCGGCAGGTGCGATTGTCAGTTGCAAAGACGATGATAAGGATTCGATACATAAGCGTTTTAATGACAGCAGCTGTGCAGCGTTACCTGCAGCTACAGATGCTGTTATCTGCAAGGAAAATGCCAACATGCACACTTTCATGGTTTGCGGCGCTCCTTTCACTATCCCACGTTATTATCAGCTCATCAAAGTTTGTGGTCGTGGTGCTTACGGTATTGTGATTGCGGCCACGAATCTGCGTACGGGTGGCAACGTTGCTATTAAGAAGGTGATTGACTGCATCTGGCATCCGCATCAGCTCAAGCAAATTCTTCGAGAATGTCGATTAATTCGACACATGGCTCACGAAAATGTACTTAGTTTGCTAGATTTGATTCCGCCACCCTCTTACACGGACTTTCGGGACGTGTACATGACGGTGGATCTCATGGAGATGGATTTGCACCGCATTATTTACTCAAAAGAAGTCTTACGTGACGACCATATCCGATATTTTCTGTACCAAATGCTGAGCGGTCTGCACCACATGCATCGCGCTGGTGTTTTGCATCGCGATTTGAAGCCAAGCAATTTGCTAATTAATTCAGATTGCCAGCTTAAGATCTGTGACCTTGGCCTTGCACGATCCAAGGAAGCTGACGACGTGGGCATGACGGAATATGTGGTGACACGATGGTACCGTGCACCAGAGCTGTTGTTGGGTAGTGCGTACGGTGAGGGTGTGGATCTCTGGGCTGCAGGATGCATTTTTGCTGAAATGTTGGGACGTAAACCCCTTTTTCCTGGCGAGACATACGTCCATCAGCTCCAACTCATCATGAATGTGTTGGGTGTGCCAGAAGAGCATTCATTTAAGGAGAACCCGCTGGCTAATAAGTTAAAAGGCCGGCAGCTTTTAAGTCGTACTCAAGCGGTGGCTGGAATCGATACAAGTACCATGTTTCCAAACGCCAATCCAGAGGGGCTGGACCTACTGTGGAAAATGCTCGTTTTTGATGTTGAGAAACGAATTTCTGTAGAGGAGGCACTGCAACATCCGTATTTGGCAATATATTATGATGAGGAGCGGGAAAGTGTGCCAGTGGAGAAGTTTCAAAGCTTCGATTTGGACGATCTCGGCGAGACGGACTTGAAAGAATTGATGTTTAAAGAGATCTGTCACTTTCATCCAGAGGAGATGGTCAAGCGTGCACAGCAGCAAAAGGAACACCCCGAGGTAAATGAAAAACTTCCTCATGGATGGGTTAAGCGGGAGTCGCGGAGTGTGCCGGGCAAGTATTATTACAGCAATCCCAAGCGTGGCATCAGCACTTGGATCAAGGAAGAAATGGTCTAAGAAGAGGTAGCTAGCGATAAAGTGTGAGTCATTTCATGTAAAAGCCCCACAGGACGAATACAATAATAATGTTTTGTGTCATCCGACTTCTACCTTATTGTCTTGATGGATGCTTCCGCCGTCATTGAATGTTCAAAGCACGTACGTAGCCAACACCCAGAAAGCTGCGGTTATTTAATCAAACTTTCTAGCTTGCAGCAATTGTATGTTCCCCGAACGGCGGGAGGGGTGAAACTTGGGCTAATTTGGAGCGTGAAGTGTTCCAGACTGGTCGGTAATTGGAAAGGCACGAATCCTCTTGTTTATGCAGACCAGTGTATGATCGGTGCAGCTTTTTTGCTGAATTGACAGAGTTTAAGCTGAGGCAACGCTCGGAAAATGGTCGCGAATGCAGATTGCACTCATAAGACCAGTCTACAGATAGCCAGTTGTCGAATTCACTTGTCATTGTGGAAGTAGTGGAGAGGCAGTCTTCGCTACAGCTGTAACTTTCCAATGACTGAATTAGAGATGATCCAAACGCTTTCGAAAGAATCCGCTTGTGGTCCACAGGCATAAAGTAGTTTTCCAGTACTTCCACCTGATCCAAGTACGCTTCTCTCAGTCGTATGCCTCTGCTATCGATGTAGAAGGCGCAGTCATCGTTCTCTTCCACTAGGCGACTGTAGAATGCTGAAAGCAAGCGACTCCCCGAGGAGGCAGTCGTTTCATCGGACTGTAGCAGAAACGCATTCGAGCTAAAATCATAAATTGATATAAAATAGATTTACTTTTTCTTTCAGGTAATGAACGCACTCATCACAATCGTCGAGGCGTCCACAACTCCATGCTTTCTGAAATCGGTCGAGTAGCGAATCCCCGTTTAAAAGTCGTTGTCGGATGTCACTCAAATCTGAAACTTTGTGTTAGTAGAAATGTCGCACTGCTACGATCGTTGCTGAAAGAATGTACCTGGCTCATAAGCGCCAAAACACACAAGCATTGCGCCCATTGTAGAAAATTTGTTAGTGACGATGGCGATTGATGTCTGGAAATGACGGATGATGACGGAACGTCCGTACCCGAAATCCGACTACATATCCAGATTGAAGGCTGGGGGTTGCACGAACCAGGAATCACGGCAACTTCAATTAATTTCATATGTAACGACAGCCTCCTTTAAATATTAACGGCAAATATTTATGAAAATGTTCTTATCAACGTTTCTGTTTGATGGGTACAGACTTGTACTATCAATTTTTTCTAACACTGCAACTGCAACAGTTCAGCATTGCAATGTCATCGAACGAGTTTGACAGCATTTTTTTTGAAGGCGTACGTTGGACTCAGCAAGCAACGCAACGGACTTGAAGTAATTGCCACATTTGAAGGCATGCACGTTCCTGTCATCTGATATTGACGTGCGCATATGATATTATCACCCCGAAATAGTAGCTGAGCAAGGACATAGATACAATGTTAGAACCTGCCACTTGAGCGGCTGAAAACGTTTCACAGTGATCGGTTGTGATCTGGTCGCTGAATATAACCGTTACTGTCGCAGATGTAGCCACGAAAGCACTCGATCACTCTAAAGACGCACAGTACACGCTGGGCTCGCAAAATCGGATAAGGACGGGGCGAGGTGCTGTCTTGAGCAAATAGAGTGTAAGTGCGTAGCCAATCTGTCGAGTACTATCGTTGCCCACTGCTACGATCACGTAGCCCTCAATAGAAAGCTCTGGCTCGGAGTCTGCTGTTGCAAAGATAGTTGAGAAGATGCTACTTCCTGTTTTGAAAAAGCTACCACCTGGTGAAAATAAACTTGATGTTGTTGCCGAGGCAGTTGAAGAATTACTAGATTGTATTTGCCGTCTGCTGCTATAATCGTGGCGGTCGCTCGTGTATTTCTTCACTATCGCGGTGCGACCATCAAATGAAGTTTCAATTTCCAATCCTAATGCCGTGTCCATAAACTCGAGCTCCAATTCGTCTCGCAACAACTCGGTTGGTTTCCTTTCAATCCGCTTGATAGCATCCGTGACAAATGAATCGTAACACTGTCCAAGATATGCATCTGGTACCTCTGCCGTTGCCGAACCGCCTTTTTCTCCTAGTCGATGGTAATTACGGATAAAGTCAATCTTGGTCATTTTGAATCTACGCGCCAGTCTCGGATTGTGAGCGTCTGTATTAAGCAGTAACACAGAGAATGCCAGCGTGTATACTGCGTCTTCAGATGGACATTCATTGCTGTCTGGGTTACTTTTATAGTAGGCTTTGGCAAAAGCCTGCAGAACGCGATCGATTTTTTGAGCTTCTCGAGGCAGCTCAAGCCTACCAAGGTACACGCGAAGAGCGACGTCGAACGAGACGCTTGCAAATTGAAAAGAATTAGCGTATTCATATAGAATATTTTGCGACTTTGTGTCAGGTTCGCCTAAAATTTGGCCAATCTGCACTTGTAAAATGCTTTAGTTAAGACTACACCCAATGCATTTTAATACAAGCAATGCGTACCATTCTGGAATCTAAGTGTGACAATTCATGCAGATACGCGGCAATCTCCTTTGGCAGTATAGAGTTATCACTTTTTAACAGATGCATAAGATTGACCACTTCTACGCTGGCGTTTGGCGGCGACGGAGATACATCACAGGAGCTCGTTGACGATGAGAGACGAGTCTGTGCCAATATGGAATGGTTTCAGTTCAAAAAAATCATGATGAGCACACCACACGCAATCGATATAACGACGATCACTCGCACCTCGCGATAATCCTTGATATCGCTCATGTTTGATTTGCGCATTTTTTCTCTTAATTATCTTTTGTGTAAGATACGTCAAAGAGCTTGAAAAGGCGCAGTAAGGCAAATGCGTCGTGTGAATCTGCCGCGAGGGTCCTTCTATGATATCCAACGTGATGTCGGATGTGTCGATCTTCTGACGCATCTCGGAATAGGCGACAAGAAGCCTTGTGCATTCGTAAATGCAGCTTTTCATCCCTTAAAACCTTGGATCGCTGCCATTGAACAAAAAGGCAGTGGGATCGTATGGAATTATGATACAGGCGAGATCGTAGCAGAGTTTGATTTGGGAGAATCTCAAGCGCTAGACGACGACGAAGTACATGCCTCTGAAATTGGTGAAGACGTGATGGACTCAGAGCCGACGGGAAGTTTCAATCCTGCATCTGCTGCGAAAGGTTTGCTAAGTCGAGCTGCAGCCTCGCCATCGGCGAGATCAGTACAAGGAGCTGCAACTGCTGCCAAAGAACTGCTGTCTCCTGCAGGTACCTCGCTTATCAAGTCACGACGGCGAACTAGTCTACAATTGCTTTTTTATGATCATGAGGCCATTGCATGCACAGCCCAAATGCCAGGACCCCGTACCTGTTTCGACGAGTGGTTGGTCATTGTGTCGCGCTCGCATATTGTAATTTGCGATCTCAACCAAAATGGCCTGGTAATAAACTTTTATATTGTTACTAGTGACATAATGCTTATTGTGATCGGTTTCGTAGGTGCATCATCTCGACCCTGAAGCTCTGCACCGTAGCCGACCAAGTAGTGTCGCGATCTTACCGACAGGCTTACTTGCAATTGGTTGTCAGGACGGAAAAATTCAAATTTGGAGTCCATGGCAGTCAAAAGTTGTTGGAATACTTGATAGTGGGTCGCAGCGAGGTAAGCTTAGGCTTACGCAGATAGGTGACAGGAGGCTGGCAACTAAGGCAAACATATCTTTTCTAGTATTACTTATGAATTGATTTTGCGCTACAGATGTACAGCAGCTAGTTCTACTCACAACAGCGCCAATATTGATGAAGAGAAATGGAAGCGAAAGTTTGCCTGGAGCTGAAACACGCCTCAGCACCCAGTTGCACTATCTTGCTTGTGCGACCTTGGATGGATATATTGTAACATGGCGAGTTTCACTGAATGCTTCGCGTGCAAGTTGTCAATGCATCAAGATGTCTCAAATGGAGCTTCGAGACGTATTTCGGCAATTTGACACAGTGAACGGAGTGCACGAGCTTAATTTTCATCCGCACCATAACATTATGACTGCAGCTTGTCGCGACGGCACCCTATTTTTTTTCGATGTTGCACCTCTGCTAGACAGCAACAAATCGTAAGAGATTGGTCATTTTTCATGACACAATGCATTGACCATTTTTTCCTGTATTATCAGCCCAAGGCTCTTTGGACTTTTACCAAACAGCAAGCTTCAAAGCATAGTGGTTCTACCTGGGACTCAGAAAAGCCGTTTTATGACTCTTTCGGTCTCCGCTTCGAATTCGACCGTGCGTCTTGGCATGAATGCTTGCTTACAATTCTACTTTGCTGTTACATTGATTGGTATTATTGGGCTTTTGTAGTTGATCGTATCAGAAATAAAGGCGAGAAGTCGCTACTGCGGGAAAGACAATGTACCGACAATTTTCACAGAATTCGCAAGCTCCAATGTTCAAGAATCTAGAGATCTTCGAAGCTTAATTAATCTGGTAAAAGAACTGCCATGACGATATTATCAACTTTAAATTTACTGATACAAGCTCTGTGCTTGAGTTTATAGATGCCGAACAAAAAGTTTAAGCCAGTGTCTCTTACACGTAGCGTTCGGAATCCAGATACGGTGTGCTGTCTAACAAGCTATGGGTTATTGGTTCTCAAGACAAGTTTTCTAGCTGCGTCTACACCACTTTTCATTCCTCGAGGCTCGAAAGACAACCTAGCTGTCGGATTTCCCTCCTTGATGGCTTTTGAAGTGCGAGCACTTGGCGACAATTTACAAGATAAAGTTCAAGTCCACAAAGTTCGAAATGAAGCCGAAGCCGAAGCTCTACCTACAATCGAGCGCTCTCAAGTTCCTCAACTCCATTATAGCCCTTGGCAAAATGGCTATCTGGCGGCACTTTTACCACTAAGTGGTTATCTTGAGGTGACAATCTACAATGCACTACTGGGTACTTAAAAGATAATGACTGACTTAACGGATTTCTTTCTGGCTTGAGCAGATCTTGCAGATTGGTCTGAAACCTGTTCCGCCGAACACAGTCGACTTGGATACTATATTTGTGGCGCACGCTTTCGGATTCGCGTGGCATCCATCGCTACCGCTGTTCGCCGTATTATCTGTAAGATCTGTTCTGCTGAAAACTACAGCAGAAGTCATCGATATCATAAGGTTTTCGTTTCTGTGCAGTCAAACAAGGAGCTATCCACCAAGCTTGTTCGCTCAAATACTGCGTCTTCGCTTATGCCTAATAAGCGCTCTAGATTTTTTTTTGGAGCGAACAGGACATCTGCCGCTAGTGCAACTGATGATTCTGATGCCCGTCCGAATCGAGCTACTGCTAAAGCTTTGATTCTAAGTATCTACAAATTGAAGGGAGATGATGCAGAAATTGAGCTTATTGAGACGTGTTTTGTGAGTGGCGATACCAATGTGCTTCACATTTTTTCGGGGCCTTACCTTGGTGTTGTCAAATATGTTGATGACTTCAATATTTCAACTGAGACAGCTCCGCAAGTTGCTCCCGGTGCAATAGTGACGAGAGTGCAGGGTAGCCCTGCTTCGCTTACTCGAGTCCAGCGCGCACAATCATTTATGCTTGGTCTTAGCGCAATGTCATCTCCTAGAATGGCGGACTTGAGACTCACAATGGTGTCTTCTTCACATTCGCCATCAACTCCACCCACAACAGCAAACTTCGAAACCGCTGCTCCTGCCTGCAACTTGACGAAAACATTTCTAGAGTTTTACATATGGAGTCCTACAGCGGAACTGGCTGAAGGCGAAACGGGACTACGTAAGCTTACTGAAAAGTTCAAAGTGGATTGCCCCCTCAGTCTCGAGTGGGATACTTTTACGCAGAGTCTTTGCGCACTTGTGTATCCGACTTTTATTAGAGTTTACCGTTTTGATTCAACGACCAACGATCAGAATAGTCAGAATGATGATACTGCTTCGACATCAATCGAATTTCTGCATGAAATTCCGACCGTGTCTCCAGCACTTTCGTTACATTGGAAACATCACACGTTGTTCTTTAGTATGGAAAATGAAGTCAAATGCAGCTTCGTTTCACAAAAGCGGTGTTTTACATTAGACCTTGCTTCTCAATGGGTGCTGAACGAAGCTTATTGTGCCACCCAATTGAGTGATGACGATCTGAATCAATTTCCAAGGCCGCAGGTATGTGGGGTAGTAGTAGCCAGCTGGACTTATTTAATCTTTATGCTGAACGCAATCGTTTCTGTGCGTCAAGATATTTCCTGCCGGGGCGACGACAATTCTCGGTGTCATTGATCAAAAGCTTGTGTTAGGGGGCTCACTCCAAGGTGTTCATATACTCGACCTGTCAAATCGAGCTCTTCAATGTGCGATCCTTGTGACAGCTGGACAAATCGAGGAGGCCGCCAAACTGGCCCAGGCGCTTTGTCCAGATGCCGCTGACTGGTTAGGGGCAGTTTCAGAAGCATTTGGTCATGCTTCGAAAGTCTTACGTCTTTTTCCGACACTTTCGATATCAATAAAAGTCAACATGTGCATAAAACATAAAGAGCACGAAATCCTGACAGAGCTTCTCGATAGTCTTATTGAGCAAGAGTGTGACTCACCCGATCTTACGGTAATCGTTTGAATTTCGGTATTTCTTACTTTCTCACGCTAACCATACTTGATGATGAAAAAGGGCTCGTCGCTCTTGCAGCGCGCATGTATCGCTCTTAACCGTGGAGGAATGCAAGCATCTCTTTCGCAGATTTGCTTAGCGCTTTTGTCACGAAAACGTCACAACGATGCTATCTTCGTTGCTTCTCTGCTTCAAAATGATGAGGTTAGTCATAGTAGGGTTGTCCTATTGTTGCATTTATCTGACGCATGTCACAACAGCAACTCGTCCACGCGTACGCTAATGCTGAAGAGTGGGGAGCAGCGTTTCATGCTGCGAAGGCCTGTATTTCCGCACGTCGCGCACCCATAGCGATAATGCCAACACCTGAGACGATACTTGCTGAATGGAATGCTAGCATTAATAATCCTACAGCATCATGGAAAGCAATTCTTGAGAAACAAGGAATCAGACCTCCGATATCCATAAAGCTCCAAGAATCTTAGGTCGAGGTGGTCTTTAAAATCCGAAACAGAATTAAAGAATTTGCAAAATCTGTCATTATTTTTTGTTCAGCGTGAAAAGTCGTAAACGTTAAACCGACACTTTGCATTTTCGCACGCATTTCTCGATGGTGTTGTCTTTAGTGCCTCGACAAACACCTCTAGTGGTGATTGATGAGCCCACTCCGATAGGTAACAACTGTCTCATTGAAAATGCGATGTTTCACCCGGTACGGCACGCCTTGAAGTTCATTTGTCGAATTTCTATATTCCTTTACGATTGTATTCATTATATCAGAGTCGAGGTAGTATCGTCTGTGTCAAAGTAGATACATTGGAAGAACTAGACATCAAGACAGGAGCTTTGCTCTGCCATATCACGTTCGACTTATTGGCTTCTAGTAACGTGGAAAGTTTACTTCCTGCAGGGTCTCACTTTGTTGTGGGAGTCTTACAATCGCGTCTTTTCGTGATATGGGACCTCAATGAATCAGTGCTGTTAGCCACTGTAGATACTGATAAAGTCCACAGTGTTCGTCGCGTTACGGCTCTTGCCACGTCACTCTGCGCTGATCGGTGGTTGTTCTTTAATGCTGATGGCAGCAATAACGTCCGCGTAACGCGCGTTGATTCTCCTCATCCAGCTCGTGAAATTTTACGCAAGAGCGCTCTTCGTGGAGGCTCCGTCCTTTCATTGGCGTACTCAACAGAGCACCATTTGCTTAGTTCAGGATGCAGCGATGGTACCATCCAAGTGTGGAGAATATCATCTGGCGAAGTGGATGCAGGAAGTTCCAGAAAGAATCAAGAATTGACCAGTTTCGCGACTCCTCTATTCGCCGTCCAGTTGACACAATCTCCTGTGGTAGAAATTTGCATTGGTAGGTGCACTGGGTGTGGTATAAACGGGAGTAGCAGCAACATGTTCCTCGCTGTTGGTTATCAAAACCGTCGGGTCGACATGATCACAATGAATGACCAAGCTCACACTTGTGTCGCCTCGGTTACATTGTACGTACTTAGAACTCTGCCTTGTAGAGCTTGTTATCGATATGGCTAATTGATTTGATTTCAGGGCTCCACCTCAAACACTAGACTTTTCCAGACTGACTGGAGTTTTAACCTTTGCAATTCATCCTCAACTTCCTGTACTATTAGCACACTGGCGATTTCATGGAATTGAGCTTGGCGTTGATTGTATCGTTGCCTGGGAGTTTGTCAAGGCAGAAGATACATCAATTACGAGTCCCAGAGGCGGAGCAGGTGGCAACAGCAGCGGTGGAGGAACCCTGTCGGATTGGTGGAATATTCCCGATTCGCCAACACTTCTTCAGCAGAACGTTTCATACGACAAACAATTAAGATCTCAAGTTTTTGCCACGGATGTTATGCTGTGGCAGAATTCATTTGCAATATATGCAAGCACTTTAACTTGTCGATCTATTTTACTTGTCGACATTCAAGGATCAGCGAAAAGCAAACAAAATGACATCAAGGCTGTTCCTTTACTCAGCACGACGACACAGTTGACACTTGCGCAATATCATGACTATCCAACTGATATTTCATCATCTCACTTACAAATGACTGTAACGAGAAGTACAAAGGGTACTCCAGTACTGAAAGTACAGCAATTTTCTCAACTGTTAGGTCGATTGATAGCCTCAAGTGACCAACTTCCAGACTGGAAAAGTGAAGGAGGCTTCCCACTTGTACCATTTCAAATGCTTGAAAATCACCACCGATCCGCTGTGTGTATAAAACTGCGCGAAAAAGGCGAATATACAGCAACAAGCTGTGTACGGCCGTCATTATTTTCTTTTGCTGTTCTTGACCTCGAGGTGACCAGAAGCGCGACTGCATCATCCGACCGAGTAATTCATACAGAAGATGAGCAAGAAGAAGTCAGTTTGAGTTCGTTGCCGGCGATCGAGTTGAAAGACGGTACACTCCAGCACGATGCTCGAGATGTTTGTTTTGGCATGAACCCATCTATCGACAACGATATAACACATAAAGCTCAAAGTTATCTTCTGCTTATACTTTCTAAGAAAGGAGACGCTATCACATTACAAACAACACGTGGTCAGAGCTTTGAACGAGTCGAGTTAGATCAGCTTGTTCAGCGCGTCTTTGCCACACCACTGTTGCTACCACCAAGCTCTCCGTACCATAGTAATGTTGTTTGCAAGCTGCTATACCTCCTTGAGCCAATCGATAGTGCTCAACCAGAAAAATTGGTACTCAGTCAAGACAATTTGTCGGTGCCAGTTAAAAGCTCGACATTATGGACGTGTAAATTAAACGAATATGTTGTCAACATACAGTGGAATTCCTCGTCTTGTCCACACATTGGACCTTACGACTCACAGCAACGTCTCCTGCTAGCTGTAATTACAACGCAACGGCTTGTAGTGCTTTCTTCTGAGCTCCGTCAACTTCGAAGTTATGACTTTCAAATTGATCTTTTGGGGGAACCTGAGAGTTTGTTATGGGTGTCACAAACACTGGTGTACAGTGCGGCAGGAGGTCAAGTACGTTATGTTACACCCGTCGCAAACCACTCTCCAGAGAAGGCTAGTCGGCTTCTTTGTAGTCTTGCAATAAACACTGACCCGCGCCAAGGTTTTTCTCGGGTTAGCATTCAGCTAGTATCGATGTTTGGCGATCGACTGTGCTATGCAATAACAGATCCTACGACGCTGTCCACTCGACTGACGTTGCATCCAGTGGCACTTTGTGAGCCGCTACTATTGGGATTTGCACAACCTAACAACACGCTTCGTCGAATCTTTAAACGTGAAGTTCTTGCTTTCATACTCATGAATGACGAAAGTGATCGCCCGGTGTGCTCAATCTCAGACATCGTTATCAGCACTGCATATCATATATTTGGCTGGAAAAATGAGGTGCTTAATGTCTTAAAAGCGCTCAAAAAGTCTCACGAAAAGTCGTCTGTCACGACAGTGGCAGACGTAGGTATTGCATCTGTGTCTTCATCCAACTATAATAGAACCTCTCACCTTTCGCGTGCAGCTCTAGGTTCAATATTTTTTGATGCCCACAAATGGGAAGACTTTGTGCGTATATATCTTGATCACGATCCTGCACTTGAAGAATATGTCGTTACGATCGGGTCAGATGACGTAGCTAAACTGCCGTCAAAAGTGGGGGGGTTAGCTCAAAGGTTTCGACAGCTTGCTGCAGTATTCGAAAGCATTGGTCAACCTGACTGGGCATTGCGGTGTCTTGATCTCTCTGGAGACGATGAGGCCCTGTTAATAGCGGTTCGAAAATTAACTACTGGATCTACTTTGAGGTCTTTGGAAATACTCGACAACCTGCGAAAGACTTGGACAAAGCTAAATCCAGCTTTATATGGAATTGCGAGTGCTGCTATGGGGCAAAATGAGCAGCACGACCCGTTTTCATTGCTTTGCTGTGAGTCTCTAACACAATCCACACGTCGAGGACGTCTGCTAAATAGTATAGCACCGCTTGATTGCCTCAGACTTACCGTTGGATCTACTAGTGAACAACATGATGACTTCAATGATCATACTCACGCAGAAACATTAGCTTGGAAGCATTTAGCCCCAGAGGATGCAAGTGAGTGGATCGGCATTTCGACCAAACATCGCATTGCGACCACCGATCCGCGTGCTTTAAACTACTCGATTTTCGACGGCGAAAATTCAGGTTTTGGTGGACGATTATCTAATGTTGAGGCGATGTCTCCACCTGCACTTTGCACTCCATCGTTAGCTGCTGCCTCCATCGATGCAGCAGCTGGTGCACGATTAACGATTGGTCCATTTCAAGACGAGGAAGACGCCGTCGTGGCTTACTGGCGATTCGAAGAAGGTGCCACAGCAGCAGATAAGCTTGAAACAAATGAAGGTGAGTTAGCTGAGGGATTTGAGTGCTTGGATACATCAAAGCGTGAGAACTCTCTACGTCTCTTTGGTGTAAAACTCGTCGAGTCTTGTGCGCCTGTTGATCGAGGTGAACCTGGCCGCATTCCAGAAGAATTTGCATTGCGCTACCCATCATTGAAAAGATCGACTTTCGAGATACCCTTAAGCGGCTGGGGAGCTCAATGCATCATCAGACCAGGTAGCACACTTGACATTGCCACCACCTTTGATGAAGACCCATACCGACGTGAATTCACATTCGAAGTTTGGATACGAAATTACAGAATGTATGAGAAAATTCAAAAAGCAGCTACAAACGATGCTGACATTTCAGACATAGATTCCAATAGTATTCGTCAAGCCGTGGTCTCTCGCAGACGAGCTGAGAGTCTTGATGATGGTGTAAATGGTGGAGTTATTTCTGGCTCCGCAATCTGGGAACTGGTTATCGACGAAGAGGACTATCTGGTGCTCACGTTTGGAAAGCAGCAAGTCCGATCGAGTCGAAAGATAGAGCATAACAGCAACCAAGGCTGGCATCATGTCGCTTTCACTATTGATGTATCATCATCCCAGCGAGTTGGAGTCAAACTCTACCTTGACGCTTGTTGTGTCGGGGAAACTCAAACAACCCCCAGCAATGAAACAAAATCAAAACCATCAAAATTACTGCTTGGGTGGAATATGCAAGACTACGAGATGACAGAAGTGCGACTTTGGGCCACTGTGAGGTCTGCAGACCAGTTAAGTGACATGCGTGAAAATTATTTAGGGCTTGCCGAAGCCAAACGCCGCATGAAAATTGCCATTCACCAACGCAATTGCACGTGCGAAAAGTGCGTGACAAGACGTGCTCAAAACACTGCAAATGCTGGAGCTGGCGTAGTACCACGTTTAGGACTGTCGTTGAGCACTCCACTCGCCCCACCATCTCGTCAACGACGTATTGTACCACAAGCCAAATTAACATCGTAAAATCATTCTCCTTGATAACTTAATCGTTGTATATTCAAATTTCTTACATACATACTGACCAACTATGGAATTGTGCTAAGGTAACAAATTGACAAGTAAAATTACAGTGCATTTTGGATAGCATGACGGCAAAAGTGACCAAAAATCATGAAAAACTTTTTCATTATCTTTCAAACCGACTGCATAACCCATGTATTCGCAAAGAGCATGTCGCAACAGAATTATCTTATAGACATTGCTTGATGAACTTGTGAATCTCAGCACCACGATTTCCAGCGTCACCGCCTTCAGCGAAGTGGAGCAGCTTCTTGGTGTATCCACCATTTGGTGACGATAACTGGAAAGGCCACAAGAAGTTAGCCGCCTGCTTAAAGTGCTCACCAACAGTGAAAATCTCGTGGATCAGGTCCTCAATACAAATTATGCCGACATGGCCCAGACATTGCTCAATTACAGCGTTATTCGTCAGAGGAATTCGCTGGCCGCGGACCTTGCCAAACCCACGCTTGTAAATGAGCTCACGGGTCACCTTAAGGTTTGGATAACCGTAGGTCACAAAGGGCTCAACCAGCCGAAGCATGTTGATGGTAGCTTTGTTCAGTTTCACGAACACGCCATTTTGAATCTGGCGAAGACGCAAAAGCTGCAAGATCTTGCGGACCTTGGGGGACACACCAATAATACCACGAATTCGGATGACAAAAGCAATTTTAGCCTCAGCGGGGACGTAAAAGTTGCCGGTAGCTTTCGCCTGACGACGCAAGATTACGCTTTGCTTTTCAAGCTGACGATATTCCTTGACATACTTCTCGGCGCTCTTAAATGCGATCTGACGGACTTTCTTGCGATGAACACGTTCAGCAACAGCCTTAGCAGCACGTTTTGCCTTTACTTGCTGAAGTGTACGGCGCTTCTTTAGGATAGATTCAGGAACAAGACTGTATGAAATAGCAACAAAAAGGCACAAAGATGTTAACACGGGATGCATACAAAAATCGGTCAGATAAGGAGCTTTAGCTCCCACTGCTTTTCCTTCATTATAGGAAATGGCTATCCGAAACACCCGTCATAGTTAGATTTGAATGGAGTAGCTTGATAGCAACACACACCACGATCCTCCACATGTGTTGCCTAAAAGAGACACACAGGGAGACTGGAGAAGTGAACATAGGTCACTTCTCCGTATTGATTTAAAGAGAAAAGCGTGTCTTTTACGAACCTTCTGTAAGGAATTTGACGCTGTAGAGCGACGCTTTACTCTCATGATCCGACCATGCATCACTTTCAACACAAAGCTGAAAGCTCAATGATGCAGGTGATAACTACCAATGATGCCTCATATTGCGCTGAGGATTAAAAGAGACTTGATACTGCGACGTACACTTTGGGGGCGGCAGGGGCCATGATGTGAGTTTGAAATTTTAGTTTGAAAGTGAGGAATCTCAATGTCTAACCCCAAATTGAATGGCTTGCATGACATCTACGGTGACTGGCTTATAATCGAAAATTTCAGCCAATAAGTAACTTTAAAGCGGCATAAATGGGGTCTTTATTGATCAACGCAGCATTGCTGGGCGGTGGCTTTGTACTTGGCCGCGTGCCACTACTGCCAATTGCGGCGCAGATTCTTGACGAACTTAATGCGCTTCCCACCGTGCGCAAGGTTTGCTCGAATTTAAATATTCTTATGAGTCAGATTCACAAAATAAAAGCGGTTTATGGATAGATCATCATGGCGGCACTCGTAACGCTCATAGTGGCGCTATATGTATTAGTAATTCTCATTCCATTGCGCTGCGTGGCTCATCAAGAGGCAATTGAATCCACTGAGAAGTCAAAAAGGATTAAAGTCACGTCATTTCGTCGAGAACTGAGGCGTCGAGGTAGCTACAGCATGAGCTACGTGACAGATGTTAAAGCACACGTATTCTCTCTTTGCTCAGTATAAATGCACACAGACCTGAATAGTTAATAAATAATTGAACGATGTTGTATTATCTATGAGCTCGTGAAAGGTGCGGGTAATAAACTTGACTTTTTTCTCGAGAATAGATTTGTCATTATTCGTTTCACCGCGATAGGCTTATGGTGAGCAGTGTCGATTGATCTTGGGATAGATAACGTCGCGGAATCGGCGTCGGATCCGCTCCGCACATCAGATCCTCTCCGTGTATAGAGAAGCTCGCCCGTGTGGAAGGCAGTCGATGTCGAAGATATTAAGACTGCACTCGGGTCTTTGTCTTTTTTTTCTGAATCAAGCCCGTTTGGATCTGTAGAGTCGGGATAAGGCACGACTACACCTGTGTGGGATAGCCCTGTAGCTTTAAATGATGAAACTGTCGTTGAGAGAGACTTGAGAGGTGCCAATCCATCAAAAGCCGCCCAACAAGACAAATCGATTTGGTCCCGTAGAAAGTTGCCGATATTTGTAAAGTTACGACCAACCTGAGAGAGCACGTCGAGCAGGATGTCGCGTCGAATTCTTAATAGTAAATCAAAAGGGGAGCAGCTTTTGTCACAATACACAAGAGCGCGAGTTTTGATTTCAAAGCCACGCATATCTTCTAGAGCTTGAGGCTGCAACATATGTGGATGATGAAGATGTGATGTACTGCTATTCCCTATATTGCTCTTCTTGTTTTTATATGTAAGCACCACCTCAACCGTTCCTAATCGAATGCGTTTAAACAAAGTGCTGCTCGAAACACGATCGCTTTTTTCATCGTTTAAAATCTGAGGCGCATGCTGGTCAGCGTCGTCCGAGGTAAATGGAAGCAAATCGTGAGAAGGTGACAAGTTTACAAGCTGTGCAATCCACTGCGATGGGTCTTTAGAAACAAGGCCAACAGTTTCTGCTTTCGAATTCAGACATGATGGTACAATTTGTTCATCACTGTCTCCATGAGAAGCACGTCCATGGTTGAGAGGGTTCGCTACCGTTTTACCCGCGACCTTGACGGCCTTGAAGATCGCTGAACCGACTCGTTTGTCGCTAGTCGAGCAAGTACGAGCTTGCAAAAATTGAGATCGTACTTCCTCACGCTTTTCATCCTTGATATTGTCGGTATTGTCCGAGGGCGCGAAAAATGCTATAAGCTGCAAGATAATTTCCTGAGTAATACAAACCTGAATGGGGTGGACATTTACTTCGAAATGTTGGATAATTGTGGTGTTGTTGATTGGTTTTGCAATCTCAGCATTTATGCGAAGAAACACTTCATCCCCTGCCCAAGATCGAGAATGTGTTGGCAGTAGCAAATCTGGATAAGGTGTCGCCGGGCTAAGGTTTATAATGGAAAATTTTTGTAGACATAGCGTAAACTTGCCCGAATGGTCTTCGAATAGCTGCATTTGCAAGCTTAAAGAGCTTAATTGAGTTCGAACAATATCAAAAAATTCCCCATGGAGCGTTAACGAAGCGCGGTCGAGAGTCAATTCGATATCAACATCATGCATAAAGCTTGAATTATATTGTTCTTGAATCTCATGAGCCATTGACCGAGTCAAGTCGGACAGTGCTTCATATTTTTGCGTCAGTTCAAGCAATCCGTCCATTATCTGCCCACCGTAGCGAATTAACGTCGCAAAGCTGATTAGTCCGGCATTTAGGACATCATTAGCCGATGATTCCGATGAAATCAAATGTTCTCGATACGCCTTTTCAAGGTTCAACACGGAGTACAAAGCATTTTTCAATGCAGATTGACCTATCATTGCACGCTCATCAAGGTGCCAGAACCTTCCACACCGCTGTTGACCTTGAAGGGCTGCAATTTTCCATTTAAGTTGTCGTTTTATTGCAAGTAGTTGATGGAAAGAGCGCTTTTGGCACAGCACTTTCTTCAACGACTGTTGAAGTAGAAATGGGTTATAGCGGCTCTTTTTCTCAGCCCTTTTGGCATGGATAAGCTCTATTATAGTTGCGATTAGCTTTTCAAGAATTTCTTTTGACACAGGGTTGATGTGGATCTCGATGGCTGGTATTTCCAGTTTAATTTTGTTCTTGTCAAGACTGTTTTCATGATCGATCCAAATAGTCACTTGGGTGGGAATTGGCGCAATTACTTGTCTTAGCAAGCCATACGAACTAGGGCAATACAACCCGTCTGATAACGATTTAAGCCAAGTAACATGCGACTTTACATCAACATCAAGTGGAGCAGTAAAAACTTGAAAGCCGTCGACGTTCAAATTGATACGTTCACGACTGGAGTCCTGTGAGATTGCGTGTTGTAGCGTACCTGAGCTTAAAGCTAGCAGCACTGACCCTTTATGGCGCTGATTTTGAATGCTAATTTGGCAGTCTTCGAACTTGACCATGATAAAATCCTGAACCTTTTTGGGATTCACATTTCGAGAGCTGTTTAAGTTTTCACTACTTTGAGCACGCTCTACTTGGCTTGCAAGGAAGCTGGACTCCTCCCGAGGAGACCGTACACTATCTGCGTTTGAGTATGGCGTTGGTTCAAAGTGTTGACTCTTGTCAAAATTGGCAGGAGTGTCAGCTCCGCCTTGGAGACAAAGCCCGCTAAATTTTGGATCTTGGGCCAAGGATGTAAATTGCTTCGGACTATGGTTTGACTCGTCGACAACAACACCGAAGCCTTGTTCATCATTTTCAAGCAACGTGGCAGTTGCTGCTAAATCAAGAAACAGATCTGGTAAGTTTGTCGTAATCACTTGTTCCCAAGTATCGAAAATGTCGATCAAAGATTCTATCGCGACTATTGTGACTGTCGCTCGAACATTTGCCGAAAGCAATCCAAGCAAAAAGCCAGCACGTCGAATCTCATCAAATTCGTTATTTTGACATCCTTCGACTTGCTTTTCAATCTTTTCAGCTTCAAATTCATCCTCAGAGTCGCTGTCGGATTCACGGTAACTGAACGGATTTTCGTGTGGAATGTCAAAATACTCTAAAATGCTTTGCCCTGCTCGTTCTTTTGTCCCGACTTCACTTGGTGACTGAACAATATTAAAGAGCTGGGCAGTATTGCCACGCTTCATCACAGGTCGACTTGGCACTTTTATCGGACTATCATCATGCGATAAAATTTGTTCAGTGCCTCCTCCAATAATAAGTGATGTGTGCTGTAAGGACACAAGCGGCTCCCCTCTGCTTCCAGACTCCGACGTACACACCCGTACCTGAACACACCGCGTATCCACATTGACGTCGTGCACGATCCAAGTCGCATCTCCAAGTAAAAAAGAAAGCCGACGCACGTTAAACTTAGTGTCGTCGGCGCCATAATCCTCCGATTCCTTGACTTCTCTACCGCTAAAAATTGTGTGCGAACTTTTAAACAAAGCACCGGAACAGCTAATTCGATCGTCGAGAAATGCTCGAATACCAACAGGATGCTTTTCACTCGCATAAAGGGCTACATCCAGTCCAATCAAATCAAACTTTTCGATTGTCAGGCCTTCCAGATAGCTCCCAATGTTTGCTAGCATCAATGTAGGTTTTACAACGCTATGATTACGACGTCGAACATGCGAGTACCGAAATGCATCTTGATATACTTGGACAAATTTTATTAAATACTCGGCGGTTTCGGTATAAAGTACGACGGCGGTAGGAGCTCCCATGCCACGCGGCAACAATCCTTCATTGGAGTCACCACTTTCTGGCTGTAAGGGACATATTTTTCCTTTGATGAAAATGGATAATTTCGTGGCCTGATAGAACTTCGGTATTGACGTAGTCCCTGTCTCTTGTGGAATAGTATCTACCGAAATTGGCGGATGCAGAATGAATCGCTCGCTTAAGGTGTCAGAGCCAATATATTCAATTGGATAGTCGTAATGCATGTTTGGGTTCGTCAGACAGCCCCAGTAGAACCAAATATGAAGCTTCAAGTGGCTCAGCTCCGCAATGTGTGACAGAGATTTAGGCTCAATTTTTGCCGCCACGCGTGTCAATTCGATGTCGATTGAGCCAAAATTATAAGCAAATCGAGCTTGGTGTACATGTAGCTCAAGAAAATCTGCTACTTGGAATGATGTTGCCTCGCAAAAAAGGCGGACACTTGCATTGGTTATAGTAGCACAAATATTACCGTGAAGTAGCCTACGCACAGTATCCACAAGAGAGACTGAATCATCTTTATCAAAATCATATGATCCACAAGAGATACACCCCGAAGCTAATCGCAACAGATCATCAAGCGCGTATAGGTAGCCAGGACTGAAATATATGACTGGGCACGCAATATCAATAGAGAGATCTAAGAAACATCGCATGGCTTTCGATAGATCTGTGTTGATTTCTCCACTATTATATGCAGTAAAAAATATGTCTCCTGTGAGTTTAAGGTTATCCCAAGTCAGCAATGGGGTTAGAAACCGTCTCATATTCACTGCTAAGTCCGTGACACCCAATTTAACATGCAATCCCATGAAAAATCGACAAGATGGCGTAAAATGTGTAAAATTCCGTTTAGCCGTCTTGAATGCCCCTTCAAGCTCTTTCGTAGCTTCATCCAAGCTTTTGATAATATCCCACGAAGTAGCGATGTCTTCTTTAAACGATACGTCGAATTCGAGGTGACCAAGGCTTACCTTGAAAAAAGGCCCTTTATCTCCATCACAAGTTTTATGAACCATTTTTTTTGCTTTCCAAATGTACGCGCTCGCGTTATTCTTGATCAAAAGTGCTTTCAATTCTGTATACGAGGTGTCGTTATGCTCATCAACATCTGATAGTCTGTGCGCTTCAATGTGCTTGTCCAATACATGAGCCCTTAACTCTTGCTCCGCAATTTCTTCGATCCACAAGGGATATATTTTCTCAAGCCAGCTCTCGAACGAGCTGCCAAGGCATTCAAAACTTACGTCGCGTAAGCGTAACCACACTTCGGGTCGGTGAGAGGCAACTGATGTTCGCAAAAAATATTGATAAAATATTTCTTGCTGTGGTCTCCAGTCCGCCAATACAGCCGCGCTTAGCTGTTCTTTGAAAGGATCGAATGTGTCTTGAACAGCATCAAGGTAAGCTTTGAGTGGAAAGTCATGACTTATGCGAATCTGGAGAGTCTGAATCTCGATAAGTATGCCATTGACCACTGTCTGCTCAAGTACCGAAGTTGAGCGTTGACAAGCGAATAGCCGCTTGCGAAGCATTTCTTCGAGTACACCGAAGACGTGATCGTGGTCTTCGTTTAAGGTGTGCCTGACATGAACACGAGCCACCGACACCATCTCAAGCGTATTGACCTTGATTGAAACGCTTTGAAAGAGCCACACTTCTGGTAGATCGTCACTAGCAAACACGCCAAGAGTCAAGTCGACGGCAACTTGATCGCATATTTTAGCATTGATTGTGAGGTTTGTGGCATAAAGACGGTGCAATTTTCCGCCGGATGCGCTAATATGATCCGCAAATTGTTTTTCATAGCGCAAGCATTCGTCGAGATCATCAAGTGGTGGGTTCAAACCATGTACACGGTTGTAAATACTGTCAAATGGAGTGCAATATTTCGCATACGCACTTCGAGCACGGTAAATCATTTCCCACGATGAAAATGTAATTTGTCGGATGAGCTCCAAAATTCGAAGTTGAGTTGAAATATTCCACTTAAGCTGAACACCATCCACAAAGAGGTCGACGACTGTCATTGAGGTTCCGACTATTCGAGACTCTTCGAGCGAGAAGCATTTAGCTGAAAAAAAGAGTGCATCAGTTTTGAAAATGGAGAATTCCTTGGTTCGCAAGATGCGATCACGCGTTGTTCGAGACGTAATGAGCTCTTTTCGAAAATGATCTTGCCAAAAAAAAGAGGTTTGTTTTTTAGCTGCTTCAAAAAGTTTTTCTGATGACTGCTGACTTGGAAATGCTTTTGCATCCAATAGTGAAATTCGGAGTCGCCCTGTAGCTTTTTCGGTGCTAACTGTAAACGTCTCAACTGTCACACAGTCGAGACGTTGCTGCTCACAGTATATCAATGGGAAAATGACACAGATATGCTTAGCAACGCACCGAAAAATAAGCACTTCACCGGAAGAAAGAACATTCCCAGATACATCTTCCATCAAGTGCATTGGCGCCAGTTTCACGCTAGATTGAACCTTTGACTTGTGATTGTAACTCGTAAATTTCAGTTCTGATGCCGAGTGTCTTGACTCATGCAATAGCGAAGCCAAACAGAAAACTCCTAATTCCATCGCCCCTCCGATTGCATGCAATACATCAGGAGCCCACTTTACTTCCACCCATTCAACTTCCGTTTCTACTTCTGCATGCACATCACTCTGCATTCCTGAATATACCGGACTAACAAAAATTCGCACAAAATCAATCGATAAAAATGAAAACATGTCCAGATCGTCATTTGTGAGGTAGAAACCTTGCAAACGACAGCAGTGGATATCTGCTTTTGCTCGAAGGCTTGAAGAATCTTCGTTTGCAAATGGATAACTGTACACACTGATCTCATTCAGAATGAATTGAATGCTGGGAGCACATTTCGGCAGAACATCGCACGTTCGACTAAGAGGTTGAAAGGTGATTGAAATGTTTTGCACTTTGAATTGTGCATCTGACTCTTGATCACAATAATCCGCAATCGACCATAATTTATGTTGGTAATTATTATCTATATGCGATACCAGGCGATTTTCTTGTTGTTCGAGTACTGTGGCATCATATACTGTGCAGCATGACGCCACCCACGGCTCAAGCTGTTGTGATAGCGCAACACTCATATTACGACTGCTTCCACGAATCGTAAATCGAAATTTTAAAATTGGCTGCTTTTTATCGCACTCCTTCTCACTTTCATTTGACTCACATCCTATTGTGCTGCGTGTTAAAATAAAACCTTCAGTATTAAAGTTGACTTTTTCTAGCCTTATAATTGGTGGTGCGAAGCTGACACCATCGACTTGACTGATACAAACGGCAAAAGAGGAAAGTTTTAGATTCATTTTTCTCGTCATCACTGCAAAGTCTAAACTCTTTTCTCTCACATGTTGAAAGACTTCGTTTTTAGTAGTATTGTCCATTAAATCAGCACGAAATGCATTAAATTCCAACGAACATAAAGTATCAAGATGATTAAGTGTGTCCCTATTAACGACATTCACTTTCAGCTTGTGGATCTCACAGAACAATTTTTCCGGAAATATTTCTGCAAGCTGCAGTAAGTTAACCGTGCGACACATACGATCATCATTTACAATATTTGAATCAAAATTTGGATAACACGAAGCAGCTGTGGATCCGTTAAGATATTGCGGCTGCTTTGACCACAATACTGCTTGAAGAAATTGCTTCAGATCAATGCTCAGTTCAATCATGTCAATGACCACTGAATACGCAGACGGGATAGGAGTGCATAAGACTTCACAGCTTTGGTAAAGAGGCACATGTAGCATAAATTCAGTGAGACCGAGAGCTGCAGTCCCTTTTAAATATAACCCTTGCAAAACAGCTTTCGAGACATCATTTTGCGATATTATCATTTTACATAAGAGCTCGTTTTTTCCAAGCTGATATACTGCATGCATGGAAATACTTCCGTGCTAAGGTATCAAAATAGTGTTAGGTTATCAAATGATATTATAGTGTTTAGATTTTACCTGAATGCTAAAAATTGGTGAACGTTTGTCCTCATTGTGTCGCTCAACATCCACTGAGAAGGAGATAACATTTAGCTCAATAAGGTGGATCCAGCGAGAGAAAAAAATTAGATGTGGTAGCCAAACTCGTACGGCACTCCAAGACGGATGTCGGATGTCCTTCAAACTGACATGAGTGTTTAACGTTTGCCAGTTTCGGCGCGATGTTGATCCTTTTAGCGATCTCGGCGTCAGATCGTTACTCAGCACCAAACGTATGTGCACAGAAGACAACATCAACACAAAAAGATTTTTTTGCTTTGGTTGTCGAAGAAATTGCCACAGATGTTTCCTAATCGAGATCTTAAATGTCGCTGTTGTCACTGAAAGTTTTGTTTGCGAATTGATAACAATGTTCCTTAACAAGCCGGCTAGCCAAATTAGATAAAATTTAGCAAACGATCTTTCGACCAAGAATATGTCAGTACCTTGCTTACCTTTTACAATCATGGCGAGGATAAGCGACATTAAAACACGCCATATCTGGTACATATAAATGAGCAATAAATCGAGAAGTTCATCCACTTGAAAAGCCATGCACCTCAAATGCAGCAAAGAGCAGCAAAATGCCTGCTACGAATTGTACTTGTAGCCCCATACCTCTCTTTTGGATGTGCTGATAATTCACTAGCCGTTGAATTTGAATTGCAGTGCGACCCTTCGTTATATATTGAACTTCTTGCATAATTCTTGCAATGATCTAATAAGCATTTTATCCAGTTGCATTCTGAATAGATTGCAGCCGTTTGCAGCGTTCGATAGAAAAGTCGTGTTCTCGTATGAAGCATTGTTGCATCATGCCTGTTTGTGGCCTTTACTTCAGTTGTGGGGTATGCTATGATTGAACCATTTCCACCATAAGAATTCGATAACCATACTTGTAACGGGGTTACAT